GCCCGCTGGCCGCTCAGTGAGACCCCGCGGCTGGACGGCCCCACTTTCCATGCAGGTCCCCGTAGGATGAGGCCGAGGTGTGGAGGGACGTGGAACAGGGTTAGAACATGGATGTGTGACTTGCGCATTGCTTTCTTAAGCCTTGGTTTATGTAGAGAAGGAAAACACGTGGAGGCTTTAACTCCGGAAAGCGGCGCTTGCTTTCCATTTGTAACGTTTGGGTGTCTTGACAGATAAGTCAGCTGAAACAACGTGTCTCTTGGATTGTGATCAATAGCAGTAGGTGAATAGCACTAAAGGCCTTACTAGTAGGAATGAATAGACTTGGACTAGAAAAAGAAAGAAAGAATGCCCTTTTAATCACAAACCCCGAATCGTTTTTATTTTCACAGTATGATAATAAAGATGGCTTATTTTAAAACTTTTTTTTTTTTAAAGTTATCTGGCGCTGAAAACGAGACCCTAAAACAAAGAAGAACACAAATCATGTCCCGAGGACTTCCAAAGCAGAAACCAATAGAAGGTGTTAAACAAGTTATAGTTGTGGCTTCTGGAAAGGGTGGAGTTGGAAAGTCTACAACAGCAGGTATTATAGGATATTAATTCGAATCTCAATTAGGAACTTTTGACAACTGGCGATTGCACAGTATTAAAACTGTAGATTTGTTTTTTAAAAGTTAGTATTTGTGAAGTTCCTGATAGTTGGTTACTTAATAGTTGGTCCTGATAGTTGGTAGTGGTTAGGAGCTCAGATTTTGGAGTTAGACCGAAGTTGGTAGATAGCCAGGCCTTTGACTCCTTAACTGAGGCAAAGGTTGTCAAGTTGCCCATCAGATCTTTAGTTTACTTACCTGTAAAACGGCAAGGATGACACCTTTTTTTCATTAGATGGTTACCTAAATTAAACTGAACACTTTGCCCAGTGTCTCCTACATAGTAAGTGCTCAGTATTTGGTTACTGTTATTATTTTAAAACCATCTATTGACTTTAATACTGAATTATTTCTGTTCTTTGGCAGTCTTTTCCAGTCTTTTTCCATTTACATGTAGTTGTACATGTAATTGTAATGAGATTGTTTACATTATTGTGATCTTTTTTATTTAACCGTAATATAATTTTCAGCATTTATAAAGCCCATATAGACCTAATATTTGAAAATGCTTGAAAAGATTTAATGCAATTATTTAAGATATCATCTAATCTTTATATCTTTTATATTATATTGGAGCAGAGAATATATATATATATGTGTGTGTGTGTTTTTGGGGTGGCTCTTTTTAATTTATTGTAGACTTCATTGTGACTGAAGTGCTGCTTTTAGTACCCATAAAAGAATGCAACCAGAAATAGAAGAGTTACCATCCAAAACTAATAAACAGATATTCCCAAGTTTTTTCAAAAGAAACCTCTTATTTCTAAACAGTTAATCCAGTGCAATAATTTTAAAGGGTAACATCCCTTCTCCCAATCCTACTCTACAGAGTATTATTAATTTGGGGTCATAAAGTTCTCATGTCTTATTGTTGCCTCATATTTAATTTTCAGTCATTTCAATAGGAATGGCTGCTAATTCAGGTCTTAGCTAACCTATCTTTTTTTGCAGTTGATTTTAAAAAAGTGACTACCTTATTATATTTCACTTTGTTAATTTTAGTTTGCTTCTGTACTGGCAAAATCTTTAAAATTTGTGGGTTTCCCCCTCCCCCAGATTATTAACCTAAAGTTAAGGCATATATGCATCTCAAAATTCTTTATTTCTATTGAAATTAATGACATTTTTGAAATAAGAAGGGCCAGGTACAGAGTTCTGTGACTGTCACTAGACATCTGTGTCTTGACTTAAAGCCATATTTAGTAAATCCTACATCTTAGTGGTTTTATAGTTGCACAACTAGCAATAAATCCAACTGTATAGTTTTATTAGTTCATTTACCCCTACCCCCCCCCCCCCCATTTTTATCAAAGGGTATTT